AAGAGGAAGGTGGAGGAAGAGGAGTTTTGCACTTTGCAAAAAAAGGAAAAATTGACCTTTCCCCCCTTTACAACTTCCCATCCCCACCACCACTCTTTCACACCTGCCACACCTCCTTCACACTTGCCCACCTTTCCCAGCCCTGCCTTGCCACCTCCCTCACACCTGCCCACCTTTCCCAGCCCCCCCTTGCCACCTCCCCCCTCCCAGCCTTCCCCCAACTTACCACCACCACCAGCCTCCTTCTGTGCACCAGGCCACAGGGACTCACTGCAGACTGAGAGGTCAGAGGACTCCAGCCACGGTGGGGCTTGAACCCACCACCTTTGCTACCTAGGGTAGCACCCTTACCTCCAGACTACTGGGGAGGGCTGAAAGATGTTCCGGGCCTGGTCCCTTTGACACGCAACGTCCAGGCCCCTCCATTGACAGAGGAAGGCACTTGCCCACAAAAGGGGGAGAGACCTGGACCCGAGCTCAAGGCCTCAGCACCCACACAGAGAGGCCCTGCACTGTACACCCCTGCACTGGCTACTGTGGTGGGCTACAAAGCACCCGTGGGCTGGCCTCTCCTCCCCTCTCCTCCCTGCCTGGCAGGGCCCCTCTTTTCCACCGCCCCGCGGAACAAGGCGGCTCCTGCTGCTAAAACCTGCAGCAACAACCAGAGCAACCAATGTGCACCCCTGGTGCTGGAGCCTGGCTGGGGGCTACAAGAGGGACTACCAGGGCAGGTGGATGCCCCGCGCTCACCCCTCCGCTGTGTCCCGGGGTAGACAGTGATGTACCGGGGCACGGCCACGCTCTGCACATTCACTGCACCCGAAACAGCTGCTGGGTAGAAGGGCCCCGTGCTACAGCCCAGCCCAGCCCAGCCCAGGGTTTGCCTTCTTCTGACTCCACACCCTCCTGCCTTGGAGCCACCCCGGCCCCCGGCTCATGTCCCCGGGAGGCAGTAACACAGCTCGTGCTCGGAGCCAGGCTTCTGGCGAACGAGCCTCTCGCCCCGGTGCTGCGCCCGCCCTGGGCACGAGGCGATGGCCCGCCGGCCCGTCTCCCGCCCCACACGGTCGGGGGG